GGCTGAAGGCGGGCTTTACAAGTTTTCTCTAATCATGTTTCCCAACGTTCCTTTCTATCCCACTCAAATGTCTGTTTTACAAAAGTAGGCAAGGAAGAATGAAAAGATAATAGAATTTGTATACAAACTTTTTGAAGACCCTTGCACATAACACACATATCCCATTAGAATGGGTGAATAAGTAAAGGAGAGAGCACCTTAGATTATCAATGATTAGGAAGAAGTGCAACAAGAATGCCCTGTTAAAGCCAGAATGGCAAGATTTCATTCCTAAAGTAGGATATCATGTTTGGTAAAGTGGAGGGTCAGCAAAAAAGAGTAAGATCCCTAACAAGATTGCTAGACTCAGTGGCAGTAATAGTTGGCTCAAATGTAGCACTGATTGTGAGGATAGTGCAGGACCTGGCAGTGTTTTGTTCTGTTTTGCATAGCGTCCTATGACTTGACATCACCTAACAACAAGATCTCTCACATGCCTTAATCTGGCCCTAGTACCACGAAATATAAAATATACAGATAATAACTTTATCTGTTTTGTTCACTACTGGTGCCCTATCCAACAAAGAGTTGCTCCTTCCTGGGAGTAGATATTCAATAAATGTTTATTGAATGCATGCATACATGAATGAATAAGTGAATAAAAACAATTCTGTTTGTCTTCCTGTAAAAAAAAAAAAGTTGTCTAATCTGTTATAATTTCTACACTATTTCAAACATGTATTTCTCTTCAAACTAGAGCATGCTGCCTATTTTCAAAAGTAAGTTAAATGGACAAAAGCTTTTTGTGTTCAATATCAAAATTCAATACTATTTGTTGTACTCTGGGAAGATGGGAACGAATGATACGAATTCTGGCTTCTTTAATGTAAAAGTAGTCCCTAGACATGAATAGATTCTCAAGGCATTGGTAGGTTCTCCAGCCAATGGAACAACACATGAAGTTTCCAAGGAAGCTGACAAATTTGAGGAGCTAATTTATTCTGGGAGGGTTAGTGGGTAGTTTTTTTCATATAAAACCACAGGTATATTTTGTGGATATTGAATAACATGATGAAAAACAGCTTAATGTCTGTGAAAAGATCCTTGAATCAGAACCAGAAGATTGTGTCCTAATCAAATTTTGCTCTTTCCTAGCTTTTAAACTTTGAGCAAGTTGCTTAACCTCTGGGTGCCTTGAATAATACCAGTTGTATGATATTTTAAGAAATGCATTGGCTAAAAATGCATGATATATGAAGAAGGCTGGAGTATATATAGAGACCTATATTCTTATTGCTTTTATGAGCATTACATCATTACCACTTCTCTATGTTGTTAGATATATTTTGAACCAAATAAATTATAATGATAATTAAAAAAAAAAAAAATAGACAAGGGAAACCAATATTCATAAGGCAGTCAAGGATTTTAGTATTATATACCCTCTTCAAGCTATAACTAGATCTCTCTATCCCAGAGCCCTGTTGTTCCAAGGTTGAGTATGC